CGGGGCTATGGAGGCGCGCGGGGAGCTGGGCCCGGCCCGGGAGTCGGCGGGCGGCGACCTGCTGCTGGCGCTGCTGGCACGGAGGGAGGACCTGCGCCGAGGTGGGTGCCGGGCGGAGCGGCTGGACGGAAGAGGGCGGACCGTGGGGGGACCCGGAGGTCGTCGTTTCTTCCCGGGTCTGGCCTCAGAGGCCGGCGGGAGCCAAGGGACCCGGGTGGGCGAGGATGCGAGGACCCAGGTGCGGCCCGCCCAGGGCCCCAGTCGTGAGTTTGTGTTTACACGGTCGTGGCGCTCAGGCGAGGAGCCCTCCTGGGGACCAGGACCAGCTCGGGTGACCCTCTACAGCCCAAGGCCCCAGACCCGAGGGTTGAAGGGGACAACAATTTGGCCCAGTGACCGCGGGACAGGAGGGTCCCCAAGAGGAGCTCCCCACTTTCGAGGGAGGGGAAACATGCAGGGGCCCGGGGCGGCCGGGCCTAGTCTGTCAGGCACCCCTAATTCAGGTCTAATTCAGGCCGACCCCCACACACCTGCTCTGTTCTCCTGGACCTCCAACTTCCCGGCGACACCAGCCACTGCCCTAGCGCTTTGGCCGTCAGAGAACCGACCATTCTCGGCGGGTTCCCGGCAGAATGGAGCTGGAGGCTTCGGGCTGGGGAGTGGACCGAGCGGGCGGAAAAGGGGGCTTCATCCAGGTTGTGGGGCCACATCCGTCCGCTACTTATATATTTATTTTCCGAGGTTTCCTGGGAGGGGTTGGCCGCAGGGGCTGGGAGAGGGGTGGGAGGGCAGAGAGACAGGGAGGACGGGAAGGAGTGCGCCGATCGCGGTGCTCCGGAGAGCCGGCGGAGAGCAGGCGTGCAGGCTGCAGGCCTCGCCGGAGCTGGTGTCCGAGACCCCGCGGGGTTGGAGTCACCATGCAGCGTAAGACCGGGGTCACCGGCGCTTCGCGGGCCATGCGAAGCGAGACCACGGGGCGAGAGGCGCGGCGGGCGGGCGGGCTTTGCCGCACGCGGGCTTGGAGGCTGCACAGCCGAGGCGCTGTCCGTGCCTCGGTGCTGAACTTCCGCTGCGCTGTCGCCTGCCGCCCTGCGATCGCCGCTGAGGATGGGACCGGGGCGCGTGGGCAGGTCCCCATTCTCCGCACCCGGGCCTGGTTTTGCCCGACGCGGGACAGCGTCCTTCGCAATTTCCCGCCGCCGCGGGAGGAGAATCAAGCGAGGTTCTCTCCGACCTGAAGCTAGCGTCCTGGGAGGCCCTTGGGGCGGTGAGCCCGGGTAGGGGGTGCAGTATGTGTCAGGCCCAACTCCTGTTCGGCTGTCCCTCTGAACCGCGTCCTTGCCCCAGGAGCACCCAGCAAAGCCCCTCACAGACCGGGGCTCCCGCAGGTCACCCTGAGCACTCCCAGCCTGGTTTCCTCCCTGCAGCCCCTGGGGGAACCGAGCCTCCGAGAACGGGGTGCTTGGCTGGGAGGACAAGCTGCCTACCGCGTGCACGGCCTCCATACCTGGGCGTGAGGATGGAGTGAGTTCCACTCCACCGCACTCGAAAACATCTCCTGGGTGCAGGAAGATGGGAAGCGGGGGGTTTCGGGGGGTCACACTTGCAGAAGTCTTGTGCCAATGGCCATGAACCTTAACTGTGCAAAGTGAGGGAGAACAGGTGCCCCACGCCCACATGTGCCCAGCCACTAGGTGACCATAAGGACCCGTTTTCCAGCCTGGCTTCCAAGAGCAGAGCCCTGTGCTGGGTTTCACTGGAGCTCAAGGCCTGCGGACATTGTGTGGTTGTTGGGCAGCCTGATGGAGCCGCCGTGGTGGTGCGCTGGCTGCTCACAGGCGCCGTTCTGACCTCCTCTAGTTCTCCCTTTAGCTGTGTGCGGGGCGTTGGACGTGGGGCCCCCGCTCCCTGCTCTCGGAGAGCCGTGGAGCCACTCAAGCCCGCTTCGGAGGGGCTTGCCAGCGGCGCTGGGTCCTGGGAGGGGAGGGGAGGGGAGGTGATGGCCGACCCTGGCCCTTGCAGTGATGGTACCGTGCGGTCCTGTACCCACAGAGATCCCGCTGTGCGCCGGCTGTGACCAGCACATTCTGGACCGGTTCATCCTCAGGGCTCTGGACCGTCACTGGCACAGCAAGTGCCTCAAGTGCAGTGACTGTCACACGCCGCTGGCCGAGCGTTGCTTCAGCCGCGGGGAGAGCGTCTATTGCAAGGACGACTTCTTCAAGTGAGCGGCTGCGGCTGGGGCGGGAGACAGGCCGGGCTCCCAGGGGCCAGCAGCCGCGACACAGCAACCCCGTCACAGGCCCTTGGGCGCCTTCGCCTCGGGGCAAACTCCTGGCTCAGTGTGGGGCCTCTCATGGGTGGCTGGCCTGGGCTGGGACGTCAGCAAATATTACTCGAAAAGAAAAATAATTTTATATATTTCGTAAAGCACTGAAGCGATCCTTAAAAAAGAAAGCTGCATTCCTAGAACCCTGGGACTTACTGCCTCACAGTGTTGGCCTTGTTTTGTCCTTAATGGGGAGGGTCTGGCCGCATGTGCCCTTGGGGCTTAGGCCCCTGGGTCTAAGGGACCACCCGCCTGTCGGGGTCCTGCCACTCTGAATCCAGCACTAAGGGGTTGTGCTCCCGGAGAGGCTGAGGTCCCTTCTCGGTGGTCCGAGTGCGGCTCGGTGGGACTGCCGGGCCGGATGAGTAGGGGCAAAACCGGCGCGCTCCTCCCCAGCCGCCCTGCGCTGAGGCCGCGCTCGCTGCTCTAGACCCGCTCCGGGCGAACTAGCGCGCTGAGCCGCCGCCGCCCTGTGCCTCCGCAGGCGCTTCGGGACCAAGTGCGCCGCGTGCCAGCTGGGCATCCCGCCCACGCAGGTGGTGCGCCGCGCCCAGGACTTCGTGTACCACCTGCACTGCTTCGCCTGCGTCGTATGCAAGCGGCAGCTGGCCACGGGCGACGAGTTCTACCTCATGGAGGACAGCCGGCTCGTGTGCAAGGCGGACTACGAGACGGCCAAGCAGCGGGGTCAGTGGGGAGCACTATTGGGGCCGGTCACCCGCCTTCGTCCCATTCCTTCCTCTGCTAACTGGGCTGAGGCTCGGGGACACGGGCGGCGCGCTTTAAGCGCCTTCCCTGCGGGTTGGGGCGGTGGGGATACCATGACCCACAGGCCGGGAAGCCGGGAAGCCGGAGGAGAGAATTACCAGACCTACTGGCTTCAGCGACGCGGGGGCTGCGGTCTTAGAGCCCACCTCATTCGAGCGCGCAGAGGGGTTGGTCGGAATTATCTCGAATCGCCCCTAAATTTTACCTTGACTCTGGAGATCCGACCTCAGAACAAAGGGAACCTCTGGGGGAGAGGGGGGAGGGAGCGCTGCAGCCCGCCCAGGTGGAGGGGGCGCCGCCGCGATCATTGCTGCCGCGAAGCCCCCTCTCCTCCGCCAACTCCTCCTGAGCCGGGCCGGCCGGCACCTTTCTCCATCCGCGCGCAGCGCCCGGGCGTTCTTCCGCGCCACGGCCCAGCCGGTCGGCCTCAGGTCCCGGGCTCCTATAACCGGGCCTCGGGGTGGGTGCATTGTGGTCCCGACGTCTGCGCCCGGGTGGGGGCGGGCGGGGGGCCCACTCACCCGCTTGCCCCGCGGCGCAGAGGCCGAGGCCACAGCCAAGCGGCCGCGCACGACCATCACTGCCAAGCAGCTGGAGACGCTGAAGAGCGCCTACAACAACTCGCCCAAGCCGGCGCGCCACGTGCGCGAGCAGCTCTCTTCCGAGACCGGCCTGGACATGCGCGTCGTGCAGGTCAGCGACGCGGCCCTCCTCCCCACCGGCGCGCGGGCGGACCGGGCTCCCGGGGTCCCCCTGCTCTGGCCCTCGGACGCCCCTCTCTCCCACTGGATCTTACAGAGAAAGGAAGCCCCGTGGGATGGAGAGCCCGTGGCTGCCACTCACCCCATCCTCAACCCCTGCCCCGCCAGGTTTGGTTCCAGAACCGCCGGGCCAAGGAAAAGAGGCTGAAGAAGGACGCGGGCCGGCAGCGCTGGGGACAGTATTTCCGCAACATGAAGCGCTCCCGCGGCAACTCCAAGTCCGACAAGGACAGCGTCCATGAGGAGGCGCAGGACAGCGACGCAGAGGTCTCCTTCACCGGTACGCGAGGGGCCCATGAAGCCCGCCTTGCAGACTGTTACCCCCTGCTAGTCCGGGCCGAGTCTACTTCCGGGCTCCTGGGGAAGAACACGGTTTGATGAGCTACAGAACCAAACCCAATTCGTTGACCAGGCGAGTCAATTCCGACTCATTGCGACCCTGTAGGACAGAGTAGAACTGACCCATAGGTTTCTGGGGAGCCGCTGGTGGATTCGAACTGCCGACCTTTTGGTTAGCAGCTTAACCATTGCGCCACCAGGGCCCAGATGGGCTACAGAGGGCCTGGAAATCCGAATTTCCTACTTACTGGACCCTTGAGCTTTACTTTCAGAGAAAGGGCATTTGTAGCCCCTGGTCCCCACTGATCCTGTCTTTGAAACTTAGCAAGGGGGGTTGGCCACCAGGACCACTGCTGTCCCCTGCCGGGGGCAGAAATCTCCCAAGCAGGACGCCTGCCAGACCTTCTCATGGGGGAACGTCCCGGTCCGCTCTCGGCTCCCAGCTGTAGCAATGAGTTTGAGGAGAACTGGCAGCTTATTTCTGAGGTGACAAAAAGTCCTGCCTGCTTGGGGTTGGGGGGAAGGAGCCCTCCGGTGAGGGAGGGAGATTCCACCCTTCTCTGTGGGACCTGCTTATTCCATTTTCCCACACCTAGGAGACCCACCCACATCTTTGTGCCCCGCAGTGTTTGTGACCTTAGTCTACTCACTCAGCCTCTCTGGGCCTGGATTTACTCATCTGCAAAATGGGGGTGGTGGTATCTGTGCCACTCCTGCCCTGAGCTGCCTTGGAGGATCCCCCTGGCACCGCAGGCAGGTGGATTGAGAAGTCGGAGGCTCTGGGCCCAGGCTGGATCACTCCTGCCCGATTCCAGTCTAGACACCTAGGGATTGAAGGGGTGTGGGAGGAGTGGAGGGAGCAGGGCAGAGGGCTGGGCTGAGTTCTAGAGCTCAGGGACTTGCGGTGACCTGCTGCATGATGTGGGGCAGGTCACCTGCAGGACCAATGAGCGGAGACAGAGGAGCAGGGCAGGCACTCAGGGGCCTCTGCTTCTGTTGCAGAAGAGCCGTCCATGGCGGAAATGGGCCCCGCCAACAGCCTCTACGGCAGCCTGGGGGAGCCTGCCCCCACCCTGGGCCGGCCCGCGGGGGCGCCTGGCACCTTCACCATGGAGCACGGAGGCCTGGCGGGCCCAGAGCCCTACGGCGAGCTGCGCCCCGGCAGCCCCTTCGGCGTCCCCCCGTCTCCGGCCACCCTGCAGAGCCTGCCCGGCCCCCAGCCCCTGCTCTCCAGCTTGGTGTACCCGGACGCCAGCTTGGGCCTCGTGCCCACGGGGGCCCCAGGAGGGCCCCCACCCATGAGGGTGCTGGCAGGGAACGGACCCAGCTCCGACCTGTCCACGGGGAGCAGCGGGGGCTACCCCGACTTCCCTGCTAGCCCCGCCTCCTGGCTGGACGAGGTGGACCATGCTCAGTTCTGACCGAGGCCTCGGCTCCACCAGCACCTCGCTGAGGGCCCCTGGCGCGGGCGGCATGCTCCGCTCCCCAAGCCTGGACCCCCTCAGAGCAGGCGTGGCCGGCGGGCGGCTAACCAAGGACGTCAAGGGCTCTGTTTGCCGAGCTGCTCCACAGCCCGGCCCGCAGCCTTGCTCAGGCTCCTCCTGGGACTCGGGTGACCCGCCTGGTGGCCGCCCAGCAAGCTGGTGCTCCTCGCCTTGTTTTGTAAGCAGATTTCTCCCTTTATCGACCAATTAACTGAGTGCTCGCTGCTGTTCCCAGACATGAAATGTCCCCGCTACTGCAGCCAGGCGGTCCTCCCACCTCGCCCAGCCCGGCTCAGCCCTCGGGCTGGAAAACGCTTTAATTTCTGAAATTAAAAACAACACCATCAACCACTAACGTGCTTTCATGTCCCAGACTCGACACATCTCTGCGCTGTGTAAAGCACCCCCTTCTGGGTCAGCGACGGGCCTGTTCTGTCCAGGCAGAGGCAGCTGCGGGATGCAGAGGGCCTAGTAAGCCACCCTGCCCAGTGGCGGCCAGAAATGACCAAGGCTGTTGACAAGCTCCTGGCCCACGACCCCTTTGCTCCCTTCTCTCTGAGGGTCTCCCTGCCCCCTCCCCCTCCCCCAGGGGCCTCTCTGCTCCTCTCCCCTCAGGGCAGCTGGCTCTTGAGGTCACTACCCCATGGAGGAGGCGGAATTCCTGGGGCCCCTTCTTCTCCATCAATTCTTTTAAAAAGTCCCTCCCCCTCCCAGCCCTCGATTAAGTTGTCACCCCTCCCCCAAGTCACAGACGCCGTCAGCCTCCCGGGCTATGCCCCCACCCCACCGTGGATGTCCATTGCCAAACAGCCTGCCCTCCCTGGGAGCCGGGAGCCGGCTCTGCCTCAGGGATTGGCAGTTTCCCGCTGGGGAAGGTGGTGGGGGCCGCAAGCCACCCCTCGGAGTGCCCTGCCTCCACCATCAGATGCTGGTGGTGTTTCTGGGAGATGCCACAGCCCGCGCCCCCCGACACAAAGCTGGCCTGTGTGTAAGTCGAAGACGTCGTGCCCGAATCTCGAGCTACCTGTTGGTCTGTGAATGTCCAGTGTCTTTTTATTTATTCTCCAATAAGCAACTCTTTCCAAGACTTCAATAAATTTGTCAGTTGCAGTCGATGGGGGGTCGGTGTCTTTAGTGAGACTGGGGACACAGAGGGGACATGGGGGATACAGGCGGGGGACATAGGTGGGGGATGCAGGTGGGACACAGGCTGGGGATGCAGGGGGGACACAGGTGGGGGATGCAGGGGGGACACAGAGGGGACACGGGGGTACAGGCGGGGGGCATAGGCAGGAGATGCAGGGGGGACACAGGTGGGGGACGCAGGTGGGGGATGCAAGCAGGGGACGCAGGTGGGGGACGCAGGCCCAGTGAAGCCAGGTGGCTCTTTGAAGGTTGGAGGAGTTGTGGTCTCTCAGCTGGGGGGGCACCTGGTGTGGGGTTTGCCCCTCCTGCCCCTGGATCTTGGCCAAAGGAGCCATGGGGGAACAGACTGTCTACCCATGATGGGGTGGGGGGTGGGGCTCCACACTGTCCCAGGGAGATGCGGGGGCTGGGGCACCCAGGCAGCCTGGAGGGGTAGGACTAGAGCCCGCCAGCTGACCCAGGGAGTGTGACAGAGGAAGGTCCTGGCACAGCTGGTGGTGCTCACAGCGTGGTAGAACTGGCAGCAGCCCCAGAGTGGGATGGCTGGAGCCAGCTGGTCAGACTCACAGCAGAGGCCAGTCCCAGCCAGTCTGCTCACTTGCTGTGGGACCCTGGGCAAGTCAGTAGACTCTTCTGAGCCCCACGTACCCCCTGCTGAGTGGAGACAGTGGTGATAGCTCCCTGGGAGGGGGGATGCGAGCACATACTCAGCCCCACCACCTGCAGGTACCTGCTCCCCAGAGGCCTGCCACTGGGCCTGCCACCGGGCCGCAGCTGGAGCCTGACGGGCTTCCAGGTGGAGAACAGGTCCGCGTGCAGAGGGTGGGGAGGAGAAGGGTGCCCAGGTGTCCCCTCGGCCAGGCAGACTGCGGGGCTTCAGTCAGCACCCCCGTCGCGGACAGACCCGCCCCTCTGAGGCCCAGGCCCCCCGGGGTTCACCTGGCTGACAACCCCAGGTCCTTTGCTGTCTAACGGAGGCCGCCTGGCAGCCCCGGTGATGAGATGGCAGGCGGCGGGGAGTCGGGGAGGCCCACGGATGACCAGGGCGACCTCGGAAGAAGATGCGTCCAGTTTCTTCGGTCCCAGGCCCCCTCTCCCGCGCACGAATTTCAAGGCCAGGGCGGGGCGGGGTCCTGCCTAAGGCCTGCGGACCGAACCCTGGTAATTCTGAATCCGGCAGGGGGCTGTGTGGGGGAGGGGAGCAGCAGGGGGACCAGGGAGGAGACCCCACTGCAGGTGAGCCTGGAAGCGGGTCGGGATTGGATGTGAGGGCACGGATGGCGCGTTAGGGACAGAGGCCGTGGGGGCAAAGGCGAGGAGGCCGAAAACGCAAGCTGACCTAGGACGCGCTGGGTCGGGCTGGAGCGAGTGTGGCTCAGAGGGCGGCAGGTGGGGCGGCGTCTGGGAGGGGGAGGAGGAGGCGGGTGGGAACCTGGGTCGGATGCGGAATTCTGGGAGGGGGCGGGGAGAGAGGGCCGTAAATCCTCAGGCCGCGCCCTCCCACCGCCCACACTCCCCGGGCCTCCAGCCTCTCCCCCAGGCCACCCGGGACCTTTTAGGCGCTGACAGGTTAATAAAGTGCTAAGTGTCCCCTAGGGGCCCTCCGCCTGTTGGCAGACCCGGCCGGCTCGCTTACTCCAGCTGGCGGCGCGTCGATAATCCCGGAGCCCGTTCTACACTGGGCCGGGGGCGGCGAGAGGACGGGGAAGGGGGGCGGGGGCCGCGACCGGCAACCGAAGCCCCGCCCCGGGGGGGGGGTGGACCTGGTGGGCTTGGGGCGGGGGGAAGCGACCAAAGCCCAGGCCCGGCCCGGTCCGCGGGGGTTTCGCTGTGTGGACCCACCACGACTCCAGAGCTGCTCACTTGCATCGTCTCACTAGCCTCAGTTTCCCCACCTGTAAAGGGCCAGGCACGGGATGGAGGGGGCGCCGCTCTCGCCTTGTCCCACGCCAGGCCTGGGGCGAGCCCTGTGACGGCCCCGCGACACGGGGCAGAGATAGAGGCTCCCAGGCCGCTCGCGGCCCACGTTCGGCTCGGCCGACTCGAACCCGGACCGCAGGTCCAGGGCGCGCCTGCAACACCCACTGGGCCGACGCCCGAGGCTCCAGGCGCCCCAGGAGCCGCGTCGGTTACCGCTGCGGGTGGGGGGTGGGGCGACCTCAGGCGGAGAGAAACCTCGGTCTGCGGGTCTTGGAGCCCTGCAGGCCGGCGCTGGGGAACGGGAAGGAGAAGGCCGTCGCCCTAGGCTCGCGGGAGGCCACGTCCGCGGGGTCACACGGAGAGGATGAATTAACCGAGTTCGCCGGGCGGGCCGCGGGGGAGTGGGGTGGCGTGAGCGCTCAAGGAGGAGCCCGGAATTCGGGGTTCCGGGCACCGGCGCCCCGTCTCCCCGCCAAGCCGGGCGTAGGGGGGTCCACCTCGAAGTCTCAGGCCCCGCCCACCGCCGGCCAGGGGTCTCAGGGCCTCGGACCCGGGTGGGGCGGTGGAGGCGCGCAGGGCTGGGCCAGGGGCGCGGCGGGGAGGGCCCATTCCCCGGACTCCGCCCCGGCCGGCCCTGCCCTGCGGAGGGGCCTGCGAGTGGACCCACCGGTGGCCCACCCGGGTGAGGGGGCGCGGGGAGCCTGGCTGGAACCGAGCGGTGCAGAGCGCTGCGAAGCCGGGGGGCGCTGAGGGCGGGAGCGGGGGTGCGCGCGGCCGTAGCTGTGCCGGGTCCCTCCGGCGCTGCAGCGGGTATTTCGCCTTTTTCTTCCAGTCTCATTCTGAGGAGGCCTCGGGTGTGACCAGAGAGGCACGGCTCCCTGCCCAGGACCCCCGGCCCCACTGAGTGCAGGGCGAGCAGGAAAGTCACTAGGGGCTCTAGTAGGGGGCACCCTGGCGGGGACAGGGGAGAGGGGTGCCGTGCCCAACCACCCGGACTTGTTGACTTTTGAATCTAGTGATCTGCGTTACCAAATGTAAATATCTGAATAATAAAAATAACAATTTCGACCAATGCATAAAAGCTTTGTCTCAGTCATCTAGTGCTGCTCTAACAGAAGTACCACAAGTGGATGGTTTTAACAGAGAGAAATTTATTGTCTTCACAGTCCAGTAGGCTACAAGTCCAAATTCAGGGCATCAGCTCCAGGGGAAGGCTTTCTCTCTCTGCCTGCTCTGGAGG